AGGTTAGTCCCGTCGCTTAGCCGCATCATTATACATAATACGGTACATAACAACCAGTTAATTTATAACATTTTTTTGTGAAGGTATTGGTTTTGTAATGGTACTGGACAAGTTCAAATTGTTTCTGAGATTATTTAGGAATTGAAAATTAACTATATAGCCAAACAAAACTTATCTAACAACAGTCTAGCAAACATGTTGTGTAGCAGATACAAAGCAGAACTGAGAAATCACTTACTGTCTCTATGGAATGCAGAATATATCCACAAACATGCCATAAGATCTATGAGTAAATAAGGACTATCAGTCCAACAGCAAAGATGTGAATAATTATGATTGTGTGGGAGAGCACATGCAGAGCTGAAGCAGCGATGGAAAACTTTGTTTCCTTTAACATACAAGATAATGTTGAAAATGAACCATCATTAAAGGTGCCATAGAATGCGTTTTTTTTTTTTTTGTTCTGTTTTCCACAGAAGGAATGTGGACTTGGTTTGGTAGAAAATGTCCAGAAATGGTTTTACAGGCCCATTTACGTCCCTTTAATTAGGCCCTAGAATGTAACAGGCTGTTTTGCTTTATCTGGCGGGCTTATTAATATGTTAATGAGCTCCGCTCTGATTGGCTGCCTTACAGTGAGGCACTGCGATGGCCCACAGAACCACTACAGGTGACGTGGGCCAGGGAGCCTTCAGGCATCCAGCCGTATTTGTTTGGGCGGATGTTGAGGAGCAATCAGTTGCTCGGAGACTACAAATTTAGGAATTTCAAAACATATTCATTCTTTTACAAATTCAGGAATTATATTTTAAAAATGGAACAGCAATGTTTGAGATTCACGGAATGTCATTTCCACGTACCGAACTCTACCTTGACATACTGTATTCGAAAGAGGAAAGTCCGATTTTCCTTCTATGGCACCTTTAAAGTTGCAAAGCGTGCCAAGTTTGGTTTCCTATGACTGAGTAAAAATGTCTTAGCGCAACTAATTGATGGTTTGAACGCAGCGGACTAACTTGGTCCTTGCGGTTTGACAGTTTCATGTACATGAAATGCATGTGGATATTAACGCTGCACAGAGGCGCAGGGGGCAGCGGCACGCGGCCGCTTTGCGCGCTCACCCTGCATGATCCTCCAGTTTTCTTCCAAAAACATTAGCTAAACAACAACAAAAACAACGTTAGCTAATTTTAACATGCAAATTTAGTACCTAAATCGTTTCGTATGTGTGACAGAATATTACAGCAATTGAAATGCTTAATATAGCAACAACATTATAAACGATTACTCGATGAATTGTCAGATTAATAGGCTGATTATTAGATTATTGATATAATCGATAGTAACAGTCCTAAAGAAAACCTTACAGACGCGCACACCAGGATGAACGTCGATACGGCACCGGATGTTCCGTGTTACTATGGAAAAATCACTAGATGGCGCAGTTGTTTTTCTTTCATTATGCGGCAGACTGAAAGGATTTGTCATTTATTGTGAAAAGGTTATGGATGCCAACACTCGCCATTACATTGTGGATAATGTGTCCTATTAATGCATTGTTTATTAAATTGCAATCATTAACACCAGCTTTTAATTTCCAAGTTGAGATTTATTTCTACTCAGACAATACACTGCACTCAGGGAAGACTTTACCATTTGAACGCAACTTGAAATGTAACAGTGAGTTCTTTCAAATGGCATCTCTTTTGCTTTCAGACATAAATGAAAGTTTTGTATCTCAGCACCACATTGACCACCCAGAGGCTAAGGTTAATGATCTGTTCCTGGCTGATAATCTTCAGCCATCCTGCCCCCACAATCAGACATCCCATAATCCCACGGTACGCTTCACACTTGCAGCTTTTTTGCTTTCAGTCACCACACAGCAGTATGTTTTTAAAATGTTCGTAATAGTAAAAGGGGCGACTCCACTAACTTATCTTGGCCGAAACCTCTTTGCTTTTGGAGTGAGTGTATAAGATTCCAAAGGCGGCACCATGACGACATGACGACATGGAAGAAAATCAAGGGTGCATTATCAGCTGAAGAAACATTAGCCTTCTTAATGCACACACATAAGCAAAGCTTTCATCCATCATGAATGTTCCTCAAAGAAAACTGTATTGTGCCTGAATATTACACAAAAAAAATAACATTTTCAGAATTCAGCTGTCAGCTTAGCGAAGCAGAGAGATCTTAGACATATTGGATGTTTGAAAGCATGTGCTTTTTCCTGACATGAAGGGGGTTATTAGGAGTGAGGAGCAGTATGGGCGGGAGATTTGGGGACTGACAGGTGTGAGTTTAGCGTGGTAGACAATGCCTCCCTATCTGCACATGTCAAGACCTAATTCGTGCCACTAACAGAACTCATATTGTTTTCAAATAGGAAAAACAAGGAATTACTCAGTGCTCAAAGCCTCTTCCTGGAGTGGAATCCAGCACCGATTTCTTAGGAAAACCTTTTCATTCTTTCTGGTGAGGTCAAAACTGTACCATTATATATCATAAATACATTTCTATACATTTCTGCGATAATTGTAGTTTTATTTTATATATGTATTTTTTTTTGGAATGAATTGCTGTTAGTTTTATATGAAACCTGCACTGAAGCTTGATTTGCGATGGGTTTGCATTCCGAGGAACCCGTGGTAACCCTGCTGGTTCCGTGCTGGTCTGCCTGGATGTGAAGCTGGTCCAGCAGCACCAAAACACAGCATATGCTGGAATAACTGCATGCATTATGCCAGCTGTGCTGGTAATCGGCTATGCTGCTCCATGCTGCTTCTTTCAGCGGGGAAGTAAAAAATATTGCAAGTAAAATATGACATATAAATAAAACCTAATTGTACGATACATTGTTAAAGACTGCATGAGACGTTTATGCTTGCAGTTGCTTCAGAGACTGGAAGCGTTTCTTGGTGGATGCAGCTGTCACCTGGCATCAATAAAGTAATTATATTCATCACGGTCAAACCATCACAAAGCGTGGAGCATCTGTATTTTACATTAAATGAAACTTAAGAAGGACATTACATTAAAAAATGAGTAAGTTTACACTTCCTTGCATCTGATACTTACAGGAAAATGCACTGCTGTTGCGTTCTTCCTCACTATTATATGCCTGTCTTTGCTCGCACTGTTACAAAGCATACAGCAAAAGCAGCAGTGTTTTCTGGCCTGTTGCAGCACAGGGCAGATACTGGGGCATCAGAAGATGTCCTCTGCCAGTGCTGTTCATGACGAGGACGCGCAGAACTCTGGGTGAACTCCCCACAGCCCTGAGCCACAGCCGCACCCACCAGTCCCGTTAATGTGGGGGTGTCCCCACTTACCCCGTTAACGTCGAGGTGTCCCCACTGACCAAAAAGCCACAGTTCCACGTAGTCAAGATAATTTAAAATAAGAATAAAAGTCTTCCACTCATTGCTCCTATAACTGAAATATTTTCTGATCATAGAGAGGAGTAAGGATCATGCACTGATTACAGTGTGTTGCCGCACCCATCACACGACAAACCACCTCAGGGATGAGAACCTGAGTGCAGCCATGTGGCAGGTGATACCTCAGCACCACTCTAGTCCAAATGGACCAGTGTGAGGTTTTTTTCCAGTGACTGGAGAGCCAATCCTGCCACCAACCCCCAAGTTACTCCCTGTAAGTTGGAGGACCTACTTATAGGGCTGGATGTAGATCAGGGTTCTTCAACTCTGGACCTCGATTCCAAATCCAGGCCATGTTTTCAGTTCTCCCAGGTAGTTGTTTAATAATTACTGATTCTGATTGGTCAGAGGCTTCACACCTGACTGACAGGTAAAGGAAGGCTGGAAAACCAGCAGTGCTCGGACCTCGAGTTGAATAACCCTGATGTAGATTAACATCATACCCAGGATGAAGGGCCTTAAGGGCTTTGCTCAAGGGCCCAATGGAATAGAATCACTCTGGGCATTCATGGGACTTGAACCAGCAACCTTCCAGTTACTGGCACAGATCCCTAGCCTCAGAGCTACCACTCCACTTATCGTAGCTCATTGTTTAATGCATATACTCAACTCCCAGCTCATGCCAAATCAAACCCCAATCAGTCTTCTGAGGGGTTCTGAATGCTGAAAATGGAAATGTATTCGGCGCTCACTTCCATTACCCACACCAGCTTCAGGATATCCCAGGAAACATCTGGCAACCATTCCTCAGATATACAGCACCTAGAAAAGAGTATTCATTCCCCAAAAAGTTTTTCACATCACATAAATAATTTTGCAGCCTTGGGCTTGGAGGCATGGATTCAGTGTCGTTTTAGCTCTGCATCATCGTTCCAATGAGAGAAACTCCCTTCCTGGTTTTCTGGCAGAAGTGCTGCGTTTTTATTCAGGCTTTCAGTGTATTGTATGTCAATCATCTTTCCATCACGCCTGGCCAGCTGCTGAATAGCATCCACTTACGATGTCGCTGCTGTCCCCCTGTCTTCTGCAGCCTCATGTGACCCAGCTGTGTGGTGTTTGAGTCGGTCCTCACAGTCACCTGGAATTAAGACCAATAAGTTCCACTTTGATCACATCGTACCACAAGATTTCCTGCGACAGATATCCAGTATCTTCTAGCTGACTTTAACTAGAAACCTCCCTGAATAATGAGATGAGTTCTGTCCCAGTCAGGTCTTTTTCCAATGCCAGTCATCTAAAGGTCCTTTTTGCGAACTCCTTTGAGATCATCGATCATGAACAAAGACACAGACTTCAGTCATCCGAATGCAGAGGAATGTCAAACTCAAAACGGATTCGAAAACTGCTTCGAGTCATTTGAAGGAAAGTGTTTCCATATATTGCTCTGAAGTCTGTGTCAAACTGACAGAGTTAAGCTGCTGCTGTGGACGGAGCTTCATTACATCAGCCAGTTCCGAAACATCTCGATTTGCTATAGGAAAATGGAACGACCTAAATAAATGGCACAAAATAATATCTGGGATCCCGGTCTGGAAATAAGTGCTACCTGACATCATTTGACACAGCTACAAAGGGTTATGAAAGTCACATAGAGCCTGTCTACTCGGAAACCTCAGGTCTTTCCGAAGTCTTGCCTCAGTCTCTCGGGGGTCTTGTACCAAGCTGCGGTATTACTGTAGTCTGTGTTTGTGTATCCCGCTGATTTCTTGACTGTGAGCTTGCCTGTTAGCTCCAACCTCTCCCTGAACACTGACCCTGACTTTGTACTAGTGTTGGGATTTGTAGAATAAACGGTTTTCATGGATCTGACCTGTTTGTCCTGTGCTGCTACATCCACATGTATAACATGGAGAAACCTAGAAGATGACCCAGGTCACCAGTGATGTCATCACTTTTTGGAACACGCTGTGAAATGCTTGTCTGGTCATCGTCACCTGGCGTATTTAAATATCACATTGACACTGAGGTGGCACCGCTGGTCACAGCACCCTGACTGTTCCAGGGTCAGCACAACACAGTCAGATGGTCTAGTGGGCCTGCCTTCTGTATATGAACACTGATAATGAGTTTTTAACCCTGCTTGTCAATTA